AAAAAGGACTGCACCGTCTTCTTTGCTGAGACACACGGCCATCGTAGCCGCAGTAAAGACCTGTGGTGGGTCTACCTTGCTTAGAGGACTGCCTCCTCTCTCCACCCACAGGCTGTTCATGTTGTGATGAAGCCACTTGTATGAAAGAGTTAGATGTTGTTTTTAGGAAAAAACTTTCTATGGGGGAAGTGAGAGGAAGAAATTGTAATGGTTGACCCTTCTCCCAGTGAAAGATACCAGCTTGGGCTACAACTCCCGGAAATGGTTTAGGCTGATCTCTGGCTGCAGAGACACAGGTTGGGAGTTTGATTCCCAATGGGCCCCTTTGACAAGAGCTGGACTCAGTGGCCCACAGGATCCCTACCAGCTTTACAGTTCTAAGATGATGATGATTTCCACCAACAAATAAGCCCAGGGCGGCAGATGCTATTGGTGTCCTCCAGGAAACAGCCAGCTGTGTTTGACACTGATTCTGGGTGTAGTTTTGTCTGATTCGCTGCAGTTTGTTTGTTTTTTTTAGGTAGAAGGACATGGAGATGGATATTTATTCAAGTGAGTCCTACAGAGTTTGCTGCTTCCAGGAGCAGTTATTATCTTTCCCTTTGTAGGCCACTCATGTTAAAGCCGGGGGGAAAAATCATTTGGGCTCTTTGTGAACCTACCCCATTCTGGACTTTTGAAATGAAACACAGCTATGCCTCGAAATTCACACTTGTCAGACCTTTGCAGGATAAAAATGCATGCACGCACTGAGGTTTGCCTTAGAGAGAAATATTCAGAAAAGTCTGTGCTTTCTAACACAGCCAGTATTGTGTGAGGAAAGCTGACTGCAGACCGTTACATTAAACTAGACTTGGTCATTGGCTTTGGCTGAAGCACAAAGGAGGAACTAAAACGGCCTGGTTCAGACCGCTTTGTCTGAGGTCCAGAATGAGGCGGAACAGCCAGATTCAGTTACAAGAGGAAATGAATTTGCAAAGCCATTCAAAGTGATTCGGATCTGGGGTAGCAGCCCAATTAGATACGCCACAAATGTTTCCAGTTTGAATCGGAATCCATCACAAGCTCCCCTATTGGCTTCTGGACTTAATTATGGAACTGTGCTAACACCTAATTAAAATAAAGTCTTAAAATACATTATATTGCAAGAATGGTTTTGAAAAAAAAAACATGCTTTGTGGCATGATTTCAAACTCGTACGTAGTAGGAGAGATGAGCACAAACATAGACATGGATGTTCATGCAAACCGTAGAAGAATTTTGTCTCTAGGCTTGGGTCAAATCAAATTCAATACTGGGAAAAGGAAAAAGTGGATGTGAGCAGTTATGAGGAAAGACTGAAGGGACTGGACAAGTTTAGCCTTGAGAAAAGAAGACTAACGGGATATAGGAGAGCCCTTTCCAAATATTGGAAAGGAGGAGGGAAAGAATCTGTTCTTGATTATTCTAGAGTGCAGGGCATATAATAATGGGTTCAAGCTAAAGGAAGCCAGATTTAGGCTGAATATCAAGAGAGAAAAAACTTCTCAACTGGTAGAGCAGTACGACAACTATAATCATACATTTAAAAAAATACTTGAGTTATATTTGTTTCCATCTGAAATGCCATCCCAAATGAGACAAGCATTTGCCGGATCTCCTTTGATTTGGGTGCCTGTATTGAGCAGAGGATTGGACTTGATGGCCTTAGAGGCCCCTTCCAACTCTGTTATTCTGTGATAATTATCATCAACTTGAGTTATATTTGTTTCCATCTGAAATGCCATCCCAAATGGGAACAAAGTCAGCTTTAAAACAGAGAAAGGAATCGGATGCTTTGGGATCACATGCAGTCTTACAATCTGAAACCAAACATCTGGGAATATTTTCTTGAAAGACAACTGCCAATGTTTCGAAAGAAAGGAAGAGACAAACATATATATATATAAAGTGAAGAAATAAAATCATCATCCTGAGCCAGGAGAAGCTGTGTTGAATGATCTTCTTTAGCAGTGTCAATTCAAGACGTTTCTATCATGTATGTTTTTTCATTGGTTGACTTATAAAGCTTTCCTCTTGGCGGGAGACATTACGTCCACCTGTGGCAGAGGAACGGTGCGTGATGCAGAGATGTTCCATCAGGTTTGCCAAAACCTTGTAGCTCTGGCAAATCTTTCCATCTTTCTGTTTCACCGCATTAATGAAGAACTTTGCCCCTAAGAATTCATATTTGAGCTTTCTCTTTCTCCTTTGCCTTCCAATCTTTCTTTCTTGTACATTTGAGTGTGTGTGTGTAGGGGGTTTGTTAGATTATAAGCTGGAGAGCAGGCAATGTCTTCTTACTGATTTTTTTAAGCCCTTCCAAGAGCCATTTTTTAGGAGCAAGAACTTCAAATATATATACTTCCCCCATTATTTATTGTGGAATTGACTCTTCTTTCTTTCTTATTCATATCAAAGCACGGCACAATTCAGGCTTAGTTTACAGAGACGACTTTCACAGTAGCCACACTCAGGTGGTGGAAACACTTCAGCCCATGAAGGTCTTTGACAAGCAAGATTCCTTGCTTCAGCAGAGGTTTTTTTAAACTGGATGGATGCTGTATTTTTCTTTCACTGATGTGTTTTACGTCTGTTGTACTCTTCTTTCTTTCATGTGTTTGTACTAACTTATTGTAAATGGCCTTGAAGCCCATTCAGGCAAGAACGGTAGGCTATGAATCAAATAAACGAAGAACTAAATAAATCTTACTGATCCATAGAAATGGACCAGTTTGCTTCCTTTGTCCTTTCATGGGAGAGCAAGAAACGACAAAATTATTCTCTCAGCCTCATCAGAAGGCTAAGATATTTGGTCTCGCACTCAGCAGAAGGAATCCAAAAGCAAAACTGGTAGAAGAAACACACACAAAGATGATATGCAGGTGACACCATCTTGCTGGCAGGAAGGAGCGATGACTTAAATTGTCTTCTGAAGAAAGTGTAAGAAGAAAGTGACAAAGCAGGACTGCAGTTGAACATGAAAAAGACAAAACCCATGACTGCCGGAGAACTATACAACCTCAGCGTTGACAGTGAAGAGACTGAGATAGTTAAAGATCACAAGATGTTCTTGTGAAGGTGACAGCTTTCCACAAACCCCAATGTAATCCGAGCCATGTATTAACATCCTACTTCTTCCCTTTTTGTATGAACTCAACAGGGTCCAGCTGTGAATTCATGTGGATTTTGACAGAAACACGTCTTTGAATTCAGATCGACTTGCAATTTCCTTGTGTTGTTATTGTTGTTCAAAGTGGCAAGTACTATTTGAAAGCAGCTAAATATGGCAGCAGTCCAAAGTTCCATGCATATTCGCACTGAGTTATACAAAATGACAACAGTTATTATAGTCTTGGTTGCCATGCTTCGTGGGGGTGGGGGGGTCCAACTCATTTTGGTAAAGAAACACAATCCTGGAAACCAATCTAGCCGATACAAAGGTCCTTATTACCTGATTCTCAAATCTCCTACCCTGAGAGTCAAAAACCCAGGAAACAACTCAAGATTTCCAAACCGCAATGAACAGGGAAGAAAGTGTCTATAAGGAAAAAAAATGAAAGAGCGAGGGGGGGAGAGAGAGAGGGAGAGACACAGAGAGAAGGCTACCACACTGTTTCTACACAAGGTTACAAAGAGGATAATGGGGAAATAATGCCACATCATCAGTTTTAACGTTCCTGAAAAACACTCTTTCGGAAGGCTTAGATATTTTTATTTTAAAATCAATGATGTTGTGCGGGTCTTTAAAGAAAAACAAGAACAAGCAAAGCTAAATTTATTGGCAATCACAGGATTAAAAAATTGAAGTGGACAGTTCTCGGGGACAATTTTCTGGGACCTCAGTATGGTGATGAAATGGGAAAGGAATGGGATGTGGGAGAAAATAGAAATAATCATGTTGGGTCTCTTCCCTCGTAGCCCAATGAGGAAAACAAAACTGAGATGCTTGGCCTCCATATCGTTCTGCTGCCTTTTCTTGCTAACGGAAAGCATTTTATAATGATGATGATGATGGTTATGAATTATGATTCTGCCAGCTTCAAACTCTAAGAAGATGCATACATACAGAGCAATAGCTGACAGAAATATATAGATATATATGATACCATATATATATATATATGAAGAAAAACATGCAAAGAACATGTTTTTCTTCATTGCATCATGGAAACCTGTGGAAGGACATCATGAACTATCTGCAGTGAGCGGAGTGAATTTCTCCTCCATCCACGTTCTAGGACAAAATGCAATGACTTGGTGGATAAGATATTAAAATAAGGACCAAGGTCTTGGTTTCTTTCAATCTTAGAAGGCAGAGAAGAAAAGAAAGGGGATGGAGTCAGAAAACTGAAAATGGAAGTCCTGCATACGGTCAGTTGCATCTCCTTCCCTGAAATCTCATGGCAGGTCACTGTGATGTCAAGGAGGTCCCATGGGTTGGGGTCTTCAGTGGCAATTGCAAAGCAGAGTAAGTGACAGACAAACAAGGTTTTTACTCCGTGCAGAGTTTGAAGGACAAGGTATGAATTCTATAATCCCCAGCCATGTGTGTGTGTGTGTGTGGGGGGGTTTTCCAGTGCTGGTGAATCCACTCTGTGTTTTGACCCAGACATAGAAGGAGCTGTCAGAGGTGCTGAACCTTCTAAGGGGTAAGGTTCAGCAGCTTGAATAAACCCTGTAAGGTTCATACCAAAACCAGGGATGGATTTCTTCCCGAACTCCATGACGCTGGAATTGCCAACCTCTTCTGTGAAGGGAAGGCCCCTAATATCTGCGTGGAACCAAGATAGTGTGTGCATGCCCTGTTTGAGCCTTGGCTTCAGATAGAAAAAAGTCTTGGGCTGGCTCTGACCTTACGAGTGCAAGAGCTATGAAAAACATCAACAAGAGCCTTCAGAAGGTTTCTCCGTAACATTTTCTTTTACGGGCGGGGTGGGCGGGGAAGAAGAAAGGAAAAGGAAAGAATGAATTGCATTAAACATAAGTGGGTTGCCAAGAGTTACCGCTACCTGTTGAGCATTGTGAAAGTTTTGGTAATGAAAAGGCAGGTTATAACGAACAGGCTTCCTCTCCTATTCCAGTTGTTAATTATTTTATTTACTTTGGTCTGCATTCGACGGGAGCTGTTCACTCGCCAAGGAAATCCCACGGGCTAATTTGGGTATAGCATTTAATAGGTCTGAAAGAGTAATAAAAATGCATTAGCACTGGGGACATGCATCTCATTTTTCAAATGATTCATACACTTATGCAAACTCTTCTTTCTCCCCCGCACTCCTCCCTCCTTCTCAAGTGAATTCACAGAATGGTCCACAGATGCCATGAGGAGGTTGCAAGCTGTATGTTTTTGGACTAAGGCAGGAATGGTGGCTTTGGAATTCAGAGAGAGGTTCCCATGGTCTGTTGTGATACAATCTCCCTCTAACATATGCAAGATCATCATTGAAAGGAACGTTGTTAATGTTGTTGTCCTCGTTGATGTCGGTGATAGTAGCAGCAGCAACAACAACACTTTTTTTGGATGAGTCACATGGAAATGGAACTGAAACATTTTCTCAAGACTAGCATATTTTCTTTTGAAAAAAGATACACGTCAGCCTCCACATTTTGCTTATCTAAAGGAAGCCTCATTGCTATGGACCTGCTTTTGATCCATGCATTTTACTTCAGAAGATTGCTGGGTGACAGATAGTTCACATCTGTCCGTGGCTTGCTATGCCATCTTCAGTCACTAGGTGGCAGACAACCTGAACTAGCGGAAAGGAAGCTTCCATCAGGTTTGGCATTTTACTTTTCAAATAAGCAGCTAGAGGCAGCTCCATACAGACCAACGCCACAGTAAGGGAACAACAGCAACAGCAACGGCAATGGCAGCAGTAACAACAACAACAACAACAACAACAACAACAACAACAACAACAACAACAACAACACTGCTTCTTTCTTTCTGCAAGACCCCTATTATCTTTTTAAAATGTGAAGGGGAGAGGGAGGAAAAAGTCCCATTGGGTCTTTTTTAAGAAGAAAGGTGGGGCAAATAAACAAATAAACAAATAAACAAATAATGAATGAACAAATGAACAAACAAACAAACAAACAGACAGACAGACAGACAGACAGATAGATAGACAGATAGACAGACAGACAGATAGACAGATAGATAGATAGATAGATAGATAGATAGATAGATAGATAGATAGATAGATAGATAGATAGATAGATAGATAGATAGATAGATAGATAGATAGATAGATAGATAGATAGATAGATAGATAGATAATGGGGTGGGAAAGAGAAGAAACAGAGGGGAAGCCTGAAGAAGCACTTAGGTGGAAGGAGGAGAAGGCCAGTCAGGAAGAAAAAATGTGGATGCAGAAGGGAAGAGCAGAGCAGAAGAAAACACAAAGCGCAATGGATAGGTTGAAAGAAGGAGCACCTGAGTTTGTGAGGAAAAGGAAAGAACGCCTGATAGGATAAGGAAAACAAAAGACGGTCCAGCTCCATTTCAGAGAAAGACCCGGATGAGGTACGGTGAGAGGACAAAAACCACATCTAAATGGGTGGAAGGAAAAGAAGAGGACTAAGGATGTTCTACTGCAAGCAAAACAAAATACCTCATTGTTCATGTCTCAGTCGGCCTCACTTCCCTGCGCGGTGGATGCATTTTTGCCACAGCCGCACTGGCTTCACCCTTCGGCTGTGGGATGTGGCTGCCACCCAGCTTCCTAACGTGCTGGTGAGAATTCCATTAAAAATTATATTTCAAGAATTTGATATTCAATTAATCAATGGAACACTCTGTTAATGTATCCCTCGGTCAGCCTGGACTGATCTATGGGTAAATCTCAGCTGAGCCCTGCAAATTGATTTCTGATGAAGTGCTAAGCCAGTGGGTACGCAAGCAGGAACTGTTGTGTCACTGATCCAAGGCGAGTCTTTAAGGGCTCCTAGAGGACATTCCCCACCCCTTTCCTTTTAAAATGGAATGGGTGGGAAGGTGTGATTTATGCCCCATTTATCACAGCACTCTCTCTCCTTGCCAGTTTATGGATCCCAAGTGGAAGATCATTGCTTATGGCTTTAATGGTTGAAATTCAACCATTCGGAGGGCCTTGTGGCCCAGCACCAGCTTATCTTTCAAGGGATGGCCTCTTCAGTTGCTTGGATAGGAATGTTTTGACAAAGTTTGTGGCCAGGGAGAAGAGCTTATGAGTAAATTTTTTTGGTGCATGGCTCTCAATCTTGTGTGTTTTGTTCCTCTTCCAAAAATGTGAAATCTCTGGAAAAAAAAGAAGGGTAGACCTTCAGTCGACCCCCCTGTCCTTAATGGGAGCTGAATCTTGTAGCTGAGAATGATGTGATACTCTTTGGCCGGTACAAGAAATGGCCAACAGACTCTGCAACTACTGAAAAAGCTGTAAAATCACAGTTGCCCCAAATCCTGAGTTCTGTTGCATCTTGGAGGCCTTCAGAGAAATAAGCTTCAGTTGATTCCAGTTGCATGGAGAAGACCAACATCAGTGTGACGTTGGGAAGAAAGCGTGTGTATCTAGACATCTATGGTGCTTTCCTCTGCCTATAAGCCCAGCGTTCTGGCAGAGGGCTATACATCTTCTTGGCTCTGATTAAACATTTTCCATCAAAATTCAATAGAAAGTGAGCATTCAGGGTTAGTGAAGGGAGAATATATTGTTTCAGTATGAATGTTCTCGGTAACATATTTAATTTCCACCTTCTGAACCAATAAGCAAATTGAAATGCACTTGTAGACTGAAATTTATAACCCATGGATTTTTGCAGACTTTAATGGTTCAAAAATATGTTTGTTTTGGTTCCCAAGAATGTTTATTGCTGTACATGTATTTTATGAGAAATTACATATGTGCAGTATAGAAAGAGGCATCACTTGGAAGTATGCACACAAAAGGAAAAACATACATATTCATGTTTTTTTAAAAATCACATACATTAGAACATACAAATGTTCATGTGAGCTTTTTCAAAGTAGATTGTGCTGAAACAAACTTAAGGCTTGCGTGCAGTATAGAAAGAGGAATCACTGGGAAGTATGCACACCCAATGAAAAACATACATAATGTTTTTTTTTTAAATCACATACATTAGAACATACAAATGTGCATGTGAGCTTTTTCAAAATAGATTGTGCTGAAACAAACTTAAGGCTTGAAAAAAAGGGAACTGAGTGTAACTAAACCTGACAGATCCATCTTTTCCTAAACGTATCCAGACATTTATTTTCAGATGATGGCAATTTAGAGTTATGTGGATAGTCTTTTAAGATCACAGTGTAAGAACATAAGAAGAATCTTCCTGGGTCAGTTGCCAAGACAGTCAGCGTACGTTTTTATGCCATAAAAACTGAATCTAAGAACATAAGGAAGATCCTGCTGGTTCAGAACAAAAGGTTATTTGGGTGCTGTGCATTGATGGGGATGATGGCGAAAGGGATCGGGGTCAACGTTTTGACTCTCACGTACAAAGCTCTCCACATTTTGGGACCATGTTCGTTGTCGGAGCACCTTTCTCCAGTGGCATCTGCCTGACCCACCAGATAATCTCAGGGTAGGCTCCTCCATGTAGTCAACCCAAGGGAAGACCCAACGTTTTCTAAAAGAGGCAGAGCCTTCTCCGGCCTTGTGGAAACAGCTCCTGGAGGAGTCATGCCTTGCTCTCTTCCTGTTGTCATTTGGGACACAACTGGACAAAATTGTCAAGGGGAACCTTTACCGTTACCTTCATACCAACCCGGGTTGGCAGTTTGTTTGCCTCCTGCCTTGCTGTTATTGAGAAACTGCCTCTGGCGCCATTTTGGATTTTCTGTTGTTAGTGGTTTAATTTTACTGTTTCTTGTTTATTTAATATATGCTTTGACTTGTTAAACTGCCCAGAATGGTGCTCACTCACTCTCACTCACTCACTCGATTGATTGACTGATTGACTGATTGATTGATTGATTTATCAATTGATCACTCACTCACTCACTCACTCAATTGATTGATTGATGGATGGATCAATTTATCAATTGATCACTCACTCACTTGATTGATTGATTAATTGATCAGTTTATCAATTGATCACTCACTCACTCAATTGATTGATTGATTGATTTATCAATTTATCAATTGATCACTCACTCATTCACTCACTCAAACTGCCACTGATCTGGCAGAAGAAAAAAGGGCTGAGATTCTATCCATTCCGTATCTAAAGGCTATGGTAAGAGAAGACATCTCAATAGGTTTAAATGAACCCCAGCATTCTCTTTCAAAGGGTGGGGGGGATTAACAGCTAGTGTAAAACTGTGTTCCAATTATTTCTCATTTTTCTTGATTGGGGGCCCACGGTCAGTGATGCATCGCCTCTGACGACAACTAATCCTTTTTATTCTTCTTTTCTTTTTGAGTGGGGCGGGGTTCTATTTTTATGGGGGAGGTGGAAGACAAAAACAAAACCCAAATGGTTTGGAGAAAAACAGGATGAAAATAGAAAGAAAGTGATATATATTTTAAAAAGAGAAGAATAGCAGCCTAAAAACACCGCAATTCCTTAACTATATGTGTTGTATTTGGTAATAGCTCTGGAAATGGAGGAGGGGGATGGAAAGAGCAACATTATAGATAAGTGCCCTATTAGAAAGATTTCAAAGTGGGGGAAATCATACAGTTCTATATCCTGTAATCTTCCCCTACCTTTTCTTATTATTTTCCAAGAGATGAAATTAAATGTTTTCTTTGGAGGTATAATGGGTGGTGTGCAGCAATGCTCTGATTTTTGAAGAAAAAAACAACAACATTAGCCAGTTGGATTGTGGTGGTTAATGCATGTTTTTTCTCTGCCCCCCACCCAATCCCAGAGTTGTAATTATGATGCCATGTTCCCATTAATGAAAATGAGAAAGCAATGCCATTGGAAGAAACTCCAGCCTTGGGTTAGAAGGGCAGATGAATTTGAAAACAGGTGATGAGGGACCGTCCTGCCTAAGATGTTTTTGTTGTTGTTTAGTCGTTAAGTCATGTCCAACTCTTTGTGACCCCATGGACCAGAGTACGCTAGGCCCTCCTGTCTTCCACTACTTCTCGGAGTTGGGTCAAATGTGTGTAGGTCGCTTGGATGACCCTGTCCAACCATCTTGTCCTCTGTTGTCCCCTTCTCCTCTTG